TATTAGAATCACTGTATAATTAGATTCAGGAACAGCATAAAAGATGGCTGTAGAAAGACCTCTGGGCAGACTGAGGAATTTAGTATTGCTGTTTGGTTGACATTTCAGACGGATGGTGCATCTGCAGTGCTGATTATGGCAGAGGAAAAAGCTCTGGCCATGGGCTATAAGCCGAAGGCATATTTGAGGTAAAGTCATGTTCAAATAAATTGCCTCTGGTTTCTTTTCTTTATTACTGAAACTAACCCCTCTATTTTTTTTAATCTAGGGATTTTGTGTATGTGTCTCAGGATCCAAAAGATCAGCTTTTACTTGGGTAGGTAGCAATGCATATCCTTGGATTATAATCAGAAGTATTTGGTTACCCACATTATTACATAGATTTTAAAGTACGTTGAGCCCGGAGTTCATAATTGGTTTGTGTGTTGACTTTTTTTAAATAATAATAATCCTTTGTGTTGGTTTATCATTTTATAGTTTTGGATTCTTTTCCACTTTTACTATACTTTTCTACTTATGTATATAGCTTTGTATTCTTTATATTAAGCTGTCATAAGTATTTTTTTTCATATTGCCACACACTCTGCTACACAGTCTTCAGAACAGCTTTTTATAAAAAGCTCCTAATGTTTGGACTACTCCCCCTCCCTCACAAGGCTCACCCTAACTGGCCTCCATTATGTCCCTTAACTTGCCATGCCCATGCTTATGCTGTGCCCTTCGAAGTCTGTGTTCTTCTAACTCTTCACATTATTAGTTTGTCCTTCTCTTTCATTGTTGACTTGCTTATATTCTGTTTCTCTGAATCTAGAATATCACCTGCAAAGTCAGAGGCCATGTCTGTTCAGTTCACTGTTGTATCACTGGCACTTTATATTTCTACAGTAGAATCAGTGAATGAGTGGAGGACATTCTAATAATTATATAAAACTCAGTTTGGAGACTGTGAAGGAGCTCTTACGTTAAAAATTAGCATTTTAACATGTCATCAATTTTTTTCTTTTCAGACCAACATATGCTACTCCAAAAGTTCTAGAAAAGGCAGGATTAACATTGAATGATATTGATGCTTTTGAATTTCATGAAGCTTTCTCAGTAAGTCACTTTAAAGACACATAGCAAGGGACTATAATCATAAAAATTGTAGTCTGTGTTTGTGGGAGAGAGCAAGGCATCGTTTATAATATGAGTAAAACTGGAGTGGAGCTTAATATTTGAAGTACTGATATATGCTGCTGGGAGGGGCATGAGGGGAGGAATCCAGGGCCACACATACAGAGTTGAAAAGTGCACCTTTTGAGGCTATCTCTTAGAGGCCCTTCAAAAGTACCAGATTTTTTTCTTTAAGAGATTTTCAATGAAGACTGAGTTAAAAATTTGCTCAACTTTAGAGTTAGACAATCTCATGTGTAAAAGAAATCCTCAAAGGATGTTACCAACAGGGTTCTTACTGAGTTATTATCCCTTCTAGGGTCAGATTTTGGCTAATTTAAAAGCCATGGATTCTGACTGGTTTGCACAAAACTACATGAATAGAAAAGCCAAGGTAAGTTTCTGATTAAAAATATGCTTGGGGAAGGAGGATATAGCTCAAATGGTAGAGCACATGCTTAGCATGCAGGAGGTCCTGAGTTCAATCCCCCAGTACCTCCATTAAAAAAAAAAAAAGAACTAATAATAAATAAATAGACCTAATGACTTCCTCCCCAAAAAATAAAGTTAAAAAAAATGCTTGAATTTCAAAAGCACTTTAACATTTGGAGCTTTGTTACCTTCTAATAAAAATATGAAGAGGAAAGCTTTTTCTTATGAAAAATTACGTCTTTCATTACATGTATCTGTTTCTTAGTTGGAAAATAGCCCTAGAAATTCTTGAGATAAAATAAAAGCAAAATTTTAGATTGTCTGTTGTTCACCACTCTGATGTTTTCTTAGGTAAACTCACCTTTACATTTGTGCCTGTTTTTGTGGGAGCCAGGTTGGAGTGCCTCCCTTGGAGAAGTTTAACAACTGGGGTGGATCACTGTCCTTGGGACACCCATTTGGAGCCACTGGCTGTCGGTTGGTCATGGCAGCTGCCAACAGATTACGGAAGGAAGGAGGCCAGTATGGTTTAGTTGCCGCCTGTGCAGCTGGAGGGCAGGTATGTCCCAGAAGCTCCATAGGAGCTTCTAGAAAGTCATTTTCTTGGAAACAAACTCATCCATGAATGTTTGATTTAGTTTAGTTTGAAACATTCTTAGAGCAATTTTTCTGATGGCAGAGAACCAGGAAAAAGAAAACAGCCCATTTTGGGGGGAATAGGGTACAATTTTAATTCTGATAGTACTTTGGAGGGAAGATTTTATTTAAATCCAAGCTTTTCTTTTCCCTAAAATATTGTTTACATTTTTTGTTCATAAAAGTAATACACACTCATTATGGAAATCACAGAAAATACAAAATAAGTATGTAGAAAAAAATTAGAATCTTCTGTAATCCCCTCATCAGACACTGTCATTATTCACACTTTGATGTATTTTCTCCTTTAATAATAAAATTTTATTCATTTATCTAGTCACCATGAGACCTTGTCTATAAAATCTCTCCAAGAGGTATACTTTCTTGAGAACTGAACTATACTTTAATGGAGAATTAATTTACCTCTGGATAACTTATTGCTATTTAGCTGGAGGAAATTATGTTTTTCTTTAGGCTTTTTCTATCTGCTTTACTTGTGTTACAGACACAACTTCCTACCTGCTATAGCATGTCACTGTGGAAATAAAATCCAAAAGGAAGGCTGGCTGTAACCTTTTTTTTTAACCCTGATGGAAACAGATTTGATTTTTCTCCAGATTACAGAAACTTTCTGTTACTAATCAAGAT